AGGCACCTGCCGGTGCCGGGAGCTGGCCCTGGGCAACGCACCTCACAGCTCTCACTTCCTTTAGTTATTCCACCACCCCTAAAATAGCCGCGGATAGACATGCTAATTACCCACACTTGACAGACGTGTTTTTGCTTGGGAGCTCCTCTGCCCATGGAGGAGCCGTGTAGTTGTGCATGGCCTTAGGGGCTTGGGTCTGTGCAAGCAGGGCCGGGGTGAATGTGGGATTTCGGTCTGAATGGCTACCCCAAAGGTGCTCTGGACTGCTGAGACTTGACAACAGCTTGCTGCGTTTCTGCTGCGTGTGTGTGCGCACGCAGCATCTAATTTTGGAGCTTGCTTTTTGTGCGGTCTCATGCGAGGGAAGGGTGCAAAAAGGAAGGCTTTGCAAGAGGGTCTGGCAAGACGTGGGTGCTGAAGGGGAGACCTGCCATCCAGAGGTGCCAGTGCCACAGCCGCTGAAGGGACAGAGGTTTGGGTCTGGTCCAGAGAAATTCTCACACAGCTGGCTGCTTGTGCAGTTATCCACAGTCTACAAAACACTGGAAGGAGGAGACTGGGACCGGGGCCTAGAAGACAGAACCGGATTCAAGAGACCTGTCTTCTCTTCCAGTCTCTGCCGAGTGTTTTACTTCCCTCCCTGTCTCCATCTCCCCACTTGAAAACAGAGGTATTCCCCTTTGAAAGGCAATGTGCAGATGATGCTAGGTACCAAGTATGATTATTCAGTCCCAGCTGGAAAACTGGCTCCTGCACAGATTTATTTGCTCTTTCCTGCTTCTGCCACACTTGAAAAGTGTCCTGAGATGGGCCATGCGCTAGCTAAACTCTTAGGGGAGGACATGCCTACCCTGCTTCTCAGTTCTGCTCCTGTCCCTAGAATGACTGGAAGCAGAGCTCCATGGGGAAGGAGGAGCTGCGGTGGTCTGTGCAGAACATGCCTGTCCAGGAGTGGAAAGGGACCCAGCGGGAATCCCTAGGCGATGTCCTCTGTGTTTCCAAAGTGAAGCTTCAGCATCTGCCTTTCCAGGTAGGACACACCTCTGGGGAGCAACCTCCCGTCAGCGTGGCTCAGAAAGGGCAGTGGATGGAGTAACTGGCGCAGCCTCCTGCCTCCCTGCTGCCACTAATCCAGCGGGTCCCTGAAGGGTCCTTTTACCCACATCCCGGGAAGTGGAAAAAGGTTTGTTAGGGCTCCTGTGGCCCAGCAGCGGTGCTTGGGGACAGCACGTGCATAAGCATTTGCAGGACGGGGCTGGCAGCTGGAGCTGGCAGGAACGTCCCGTGGAGCCCTGTTGAAGGGAAGCAGCTCGGCTGTTTCCAGAGCCCTTGCCTCAGGCTGCTGTCAGAGAGACAAAGGAAGGGGCTCTCCAGATCTGAGCCCTGGCTGGCTGTTCACAGGGAACCTTCTTCCTCTTTGCTTTCCAAGGAGCAGCATGACCGGCTGTTGGTGCTTTACCCATCCACACTGGTGATAGTATCTGAGGAGCACAACAGCCTCTGTTTTAAGGTAAGTTCATTTTGGAGCACCTTCCTGCTCTCTCTCACCCACAGCGGCTATTTCGGCACTTCTTTGGCTTGTTGCTCCCCTCCACCTGGGTTCCCTTGCGCTGCTGGTGTTGGCAAGGGCTTTCCCTCCACGCTGCTCCCTTGCCAGCTGGCAGGTGAGCAGGCGGAGGGATGTTGCAAGCTATCTTCCCATGAGAAACACCTTGCCCTCCTACAAAAGCCCCAGAGGGAAAGGAGCTGGCTGCCAAGGAATCTGAGTCTCTGGGAGGAGGGAGGTTGGCATGTGTCTGTGTGGTTATGCTGGCAGAGAGCCTGGCGCACTTGCTTGAGACAGGAGCTGGAACAGCCCCAGAGAGTGCCCCCGCGGGGGCTTGGCCTCGCAGGCCCCTCCGTGGGGCCGCTTGAGAGCCGGCAGCATCCGGGCAGCATCCAGGCAGCACATCTGATGCTCGTGGGGAAGGGCAAAGGCAGTTACTTGGCTGGCGGGCAGAGAGGAGAGGCGGCTGCTGGGGCACTACGTTCGCTGCTCTTTCCGTGGAGCAAGGGCCCTGCGCAATGTCTGGGCATGCCAGCGGAACGGCCAACAAGGCTGCGGAGGCCTGAGTGCCCCAGGGGATGTGAGAAGAGCTTCTCTAGTCCACTGATGTGTCTTTGCTTGTAGGAGCAACGCTGGGAGCATCATCCCAGGTGGGCAGTGGCACTGTGGGCCCTGGGAGCTGCATTAGCATTGCTTGCAGCCTGAATGGCCCTTAAACTTGATTGCCAACATCCATCTTAGACACCATTGCGATGGCTATTAAACAGCCCCGTGCTTTCTGGCCCCGTTTTCCCATGCTAGAACAAATGTTCCAAAAAGAGCGCTGAACTGTCTCTGAACCTGCGGGCGCAGCAGGACTGGCGCATGGCAGAGCAGAGCTGGGCTGCTCCTGCAGAGCAGCAGCATCCTTCCTGGGCACTGAGAAAGGAGCCAGTGACAAGGAAACCCTGCAGAGTTTGAGAGCTTGTGAAATTCGGTGTGAACTCACTGGGGTCCTTCTTCACATGACTTCACCACGTCCACCTCAGGCCCCAAGCCATGCAGGCTGCTTTTAATTCAAGGGTTACCCCTGGGAAGACCTGCACAGAGCACCTCCCTGGCCAGAGGAGATGGCTGTGCCTGCAACGGGAAGGGGTGTGAGGAGGGACATATGCCAGCGAGAGCTCTCCTCCATCCCCAGTGCAACAGCGAAGGGTGTTTTCCAGCAGCTGGTGGCTTGTGTGACACACCTCAGACAGAGCTTGTTTTCGGGAACGTGTTGTTTGCAGCTCCTGGGAATGGGGCATCACGTAAGGGGGCCTTGGGCTGGGCTCTCAGATTAACTCATCTCTTTTGAAACCTTAAACCAGATTTGTCTGCCCTCTCCGTGCAATATTCCCTTCCCACGGTGCATGAGCGTCGGTCCCCGGGCGTCTCGCTCGCTGGGGTAATGGCAGGGCTCTGTGCAGCCAAGCGCAGGCAGGAGGTGATCCCCCAGCCTGTGACACTGCAGTGGGAACCTGATTTTCCACAGGCATGTCAGGGCACAGGAGCCTTCTCCCAGGGCTTCTGCAAATTAACTTCCCTTCCCTACGAGCAGATGCTGAGCCCCACAATTTGTGTGTGAAGGAATAGCCTGGCCCTTTTGTTCTTCAGTTTCATACAAACCACAGGAGCTGCCGCTGCCAAGTTTGCATGCGGG